CTGCAGTAGCTGGGGGTCCATCGCGCGGAGCGTCCTCCTCGCCTGCAGTGGGCGGCGGCGGCGGCGGCCTCGGGCGAGGTCTGGTAAAGGGCAGCAGGGAAGTCTGGGGCCAGGGGGGCCTGGAAACTCTCTGAGTGGCCATTGGCCGCCGGCTGTCCCTGTGCCTGAGGACGGCTTTTGCATCCCGACGTCACCACCCGGCCCCCGCCTCACGTGTTGCAGCCCCCAGGTCGCCTCTGCAGACATAGCCGCCAACTTACTGCCTGTGAGGCTGTGTCCTGTCACCCGCCGGATGCCAAACGCCGTGCGGAGTGACTTCGATTTTTGCAACAGCCCTGCAAGGTAGGTTCCCCTGTACCAATGCGCGAATGAATGAAACTGCGCTGTGCCAAAGGGTGAGGATTCCAAGCTGCTAAGAGGAGGAGGTGGAAGGGAGGTTATTTCTTTCGTTTTCAGTTTTGCTGAGGTGACATTGACAGGTGCACTTGTGGGGATTAATTTTGGATTCTTCTAATTTAATCTGCTTGCTGATCTTTAAAGTCTAAATGTGAGCATGCTAATTAAAAACAAACAAACAAAAACGCGCGCCCCTGTAATCTGACTTCAGCTTCTCTCTGCCAACTCCTCAGGGCCTCTGTGTTTTGGCCACCGTGGGCACTCAGTTCCTCTTCCGGCTTATGCTCACGGAAGCCTTTCCTGAGTCCCTGGACTAGATCAGGAGTTTGTCTTACACTTGCCGAGCTCCCGATGCTTCTCTTGCGCGGCATGCATCTTGCTTGCAATTTATATTTACTCGGGTGATGTCTGCTTCCCCCACTAGACTGTAAGCCCCGTGAGCTAGGAGAGGGACGCACGCCAGGACCTGATACGTGGCCTTGGTTGAGTAAATGTTTATGGAGTGACTATAGTTTGCCCAGCACTCAATGTGATCGCCCAGGCTGGCTTGGCTCAATGGATAGAGCGTCAGCCTGTGGACTGGAGGGTCCCAGGTTCGATTCCGGTCAAGGGCACATGCCTGGGTTCCGGGCTTCATCCCCAGGATCTCTGTCATGTGCCCTGACTGGGAATCGAACCTTGACTTTCCGGTTCATAGGTTGATGCTCAACCCCTGAGGTACGCCGGATGGTTATTTGGATTTTTAATTCAGCAAAAATATATGCTCATCTACAGGATCATGAGTAATTTCTGTATTTCAAAATATTTGACCAAAGGTTTATATGACTTTTGTAACCAGAAGGACAAGTAAAGGTTATTTGAAAATAAAAATAAAATCTCTTGCCCTAACCGTTTTGGCTCAGTGGATAGAGCATTGGCCTGCGGACTCAAGGGTCCCAGGTTCGATTCCGGTCAAGGGCATGTACCTTGGTAGCGGGCACATCCCCAGTGGGGAGTGTGCAGGAGGCAGCTGATCGATGTTTCTCTCTCATCGATGTTTCTAACTCTCTATCCCTCTCCCTTCCTCTCTGTAAAAAAATAAATAAAAATTTAAAAAAATAATAATACAAAAAATAAAAAAATAAAATCTCTGGAAATGGGGTAGCATCATGTGTTTTTCCCCCTCTCACGTTTGTTTCAGGTCGGCCCATGGCGGATTCAGCTGGTTCAAGTGAAACTTCCTATCTGCTCCCTCCAAACAGGGAGGACTGGGAAGGGCACGGCATCCCTGACTTTGTCTACGGACAGAAGGAACTCACGCGGGAAGGGATCCAGTGGCCGAGGACCGCGCCCAGCCTCCCGGACACACTGCCTCTGTCTCGTTTTGACTCCGAGCTCTGCTCTGCCTGGAGACAGCGGATGGAGCTGGGGCTGTTCCGCTACCGCCTGGGGGAGCTGCAGACCCAGACGCTCCCTGGTCCCATGGGCTTCGTGGCTCAGCTGAATGTGGAACGAGGGGTGCAGAGGAGGCGCCCCCAGAACATCAGGAGCGTCAGGCAGGCCTTTGACCCCGAAGAGTTTAACTTCAACAAAATCCGGCCGGGAGAAGTCCTCTTCCGTTTGCGCCGGGAGCCCGATCCCCCGGGGGTTCTCCGGCAAGAGGATATCCTGGTGA